TGTGCTGGTATTTGGAAAGAATGTAATACCACATATTATTTGTATGAATGCAGTTATACTCACTGTATGTAAAGTACTATTGAGTGAGACATGCTGTCTGACTTATTGGAAACACATTTTTTAACCCTTTAGAACCGGTAGGAGCGGACACGCTCCATTTTGCGTAACTATTTTTAAATCCCGGTGAGCTAGCGCAATAATTTTTTTTGCATATGAAACCGGAGGAGTTGTACTTACATCTCATGCCATCAGCTTGTCCTCGGTCACAGTTTCCTTCCACATATAGCTTTGCAAAAACTGCATAAAAAGCGCTTGTAGCAACAAAAACATAATATTCCAGAAACACGCTTTGCCGATCCGATCAGCTGTTCATAACACTTCCTACCTCCATCAGCGCGAACTATCACATGACCGCATGACCTGCCCGAAACCGGAAGTGACGTCATTTTGCGGAAATGTACCGTAATTGTCGGGCTATAAGCCGCTACTTTTTGCACAAGCTTTGAACCCTGCGGCTTTTAGTCAGGTGCGGCTTTTCTATGGATTGTCCATGATTTTTGTCATATCATAAGACGATTTGTTTTGTTTGTTCCGCTGTTGTACGGTACTACGTTGCCTGGTGGAAGGGCATGTGATCAGACACACAGTATCGGGGTTCAAGAGTGGTATGTTGGTCACATGTCCATCCGCCAGGCAACATAGTGCCGTACAAGTAGCGCGAAAAACAAACTTCAAAGTAGCGCTACACGTTCAGCCGGAGGCGTGGATGACGAGCGGCAATAAATTTGCGAAAAGCAAGTTATGCTCAACTCCACCGGTGGAATCTGACAGCGTGGAAAAGTGTGAAAACATCCATGATCACCAACGGATTTCGAAGGGCTGGACTGCTGCATGATGGAGAGGAGGACACCGCCACGGCCCTTCTGAGGGTGTTCGACTCTGACACTGACAACGAGGATTTCTTTGGTTTTGAAAGTGACAACGAAGGAAAGAAGCTGAGAGTGGATGACGAAGCCACCCTGAGCCTGTTCGTTTCCGACACTGGAGAAGAGGACTTTGGTGGTTTTAGTGCGCAGGAAGATGGTGAATGACTGACTTTTCTTCTTGTTAAAGCCGTGTCACTGCACCTGAGCCTAAAAGGTAGTCCGAATCTATTTTTCTGGTGTGCTGTAGGTTACTGTTATGTACTACATTTGTTACTCATTTATGAAGCACAGTACATGTTTCGTACTTGTAATTACCGCTACTTGTACATATACCTAAAAAGTTGTGCAAATTTGTACCCATAACTTGTTTTTCAAAATATTAATAAAAGGGGTGTGTCTCCAAACAGCCATCTTACATATGATAAGTCAACATTGAAACACCTGCGGCTTTTAGTCAGGTGCGGCTAATGTATGTACAAAACAGGATTTTCCCCTGATTTTAGCTTGTGCGGCTAATATTCAGGTGCGCTTTGTAGTCCGGGAAATACGGTAGTTTTTTACCATCGTGGCCTCATGAGCTTATACTTGTGTTTTTAAAAGTTATGTTTGACTTCATGACTTTCTGTGTCGTTTCTGGGATGCTTAGGACTCATATTGCACTGCTGGAAATAGTTTATTTTGATGCATATGCTGTTATTTTGCAAATTTGCACTATAATATATTTTTTCGTTTTTCCTGTAGTATATAAAAATTGGTGTATCTCAAAAATAAAACTATGAAAACACTCAAAATAAATTTCCTTTGGTGGGAAACTAGTTTGTGCAACTTTTTTGTATTTGCAGTTTTGAGGGATAAGCCTCTTAAATTTCTCTAACTAGAAATATATGTTGAAAAAACAAAAACGATTTTAAATTTTTTTGTAGTTTATTGCACTTGCACAATTACTATGCACTTAATGCAGACATATTATTAAAATTTGGGCTATAATGGTTGTATTGATGTATAGCAACTTGAAATGCTCCAAAAAATGGCTCCACAGCATGTGAAAATATAATATAAGCTCTGGCGGACTTGGTTCTATGGTAGGTCTTAAAGGGTTAATTAAGCATAACATTTCATTGGTTTTGTTTGCGATGTTGTTGATTATTAAAGTTTCTGATGACAATGTAAATTTTAAAATGTTGCTATAGGAGCCCATTCAGATGGCTGTGATCCAAAATTAAATATGGTTCAAACATCATGATACAACATGATTTCCTCCAGTACCATCCACCTCCAACATATGTTACAGTTTCTGTCAGTTTGCTGCAGTTCTCAAATCAGTGATGCTTTTCCCCAATCAAATTAGCCTTTCTCATTGTTTTTATACACACATACACACTGCTGTTGTTTCTACACTAATAAAGGGATTTGTTACTTTGTTGATCCACTTGAATCTCACAACTCTTTGAAACAGTTTTGTCAGACAGAACTCCAGATCTGTCACTTTGCTGAATACTGTCCAACACTGCATTAGTGTTTCCACTCAAATTACTTCAAAGCAGTGAAATTGCTCTTCAATTATAATCACATATGGACACATGTTCTCAGGAGACGTTTAAGTTGAAACATTTGGAAATGCATAATCTCAGTCTTGTGTCACACGTCCATGCCATGGCACTGCTACTGTAATTACACAGAAACATATACTATATGCACTCATTAACCACTTTATTAGGTACACCTCGCTAGTACCGGGCTGGACCCCCTTTTGCCTTCTGAGCTGCCTGAATGCTTTGTAGCATAGATTCAACAAGTCAGAGATTTTGCCCCTCATTGACATAATACCATCATATCATTGCTGCAGATTTGCCAGCTGGACACCCCTTTCAAGCACATCCCAAAAATGCTGTCTTTAACTGAGATCTGGTGACTGTGGAGGCCATTGGAGCACCGTGTTTTTGTTTTTGTTCTTTCAAGTTTGGTCTCTCCATGTGAATTATAACCTCAGTTTCCTGTTCTTACGTGACAGGCCCTGCAGTGCAGTCTTCTACTGCTGTAGCCCATCTGCTTCAAGGTCGCATGTTGTGCTTGCAGACATGCTCTTCTGCGTCTTGTTTGTATCGAGTGGTTGATTGAGTTACTGTTGCCGTCCTATAAACTCAAAACTTTCAGGCCGTTCTCCTCTGGCCTTCGACATCAACATTTTTCAGACCGTTCCCATCAACCCTACAAATGGCTGTGTAAAGAAATCCCAGCAGATCAGCCTGTCTGGCATCAACAACCATGACACTGTTAATTATCTTTCTTAATGATGTTTGAATTAATCCTCAGCAGGCTGTGTCCAACATGTCTACATGTGTAAATGCTATGAGGTGCTGACATGTGATTGGCTGATATTTGGATTAACAAGCAGTTTAACAGGTGTACTTAATAACCTAATAAACATGTGCAGTATGACTTTACTGGACTATACAGTAGTTGGTGCTGTGGTCTCAGATTGTATACATTTTCTTTTCCTGACACATGACACAATAATAATGAGTATTATTTTGCTTTTCTCCATTTCATCAGTTTTGTAAGGTTAAAAAAAATTACAAAAAACCATCAGATTTGATTTTTGTTTCTGAAAACAGTTTTAAACTTCTCATTAGCTGTCACAGTCCGGGTGAGCTGCTGGTAAATTTCCACCATGTTCTCCTGTGTCTGCCCCTGGGCAGAGCCGTCATCTCCTCACATGGAGCCAATCTGCTCAAGATATTCAAGACCAGCGTTGCCGTCTCTTCACTGCTAGTTTGCCAACTTACCCACGGTGCTAACAGGCTACCATGCTTCGTGCTCCTTTGCCAAAGTCTATGTACTTACCTCGTTCTTCATGTGCTACAGCTCTCCTCTTTAAAATTCAACCACACCTGGAGAAGTCTGAGAACCCACTAACCCCCTTTTCCTCTCTCCCTCTTGATCACCAAGCCACCTTAGGCCACCACGCTACGTTTTCTTGTCAGGAATCCCACGTCAAGTATAACTCTGTGTTTTTGTGCCAAATAAAGATTTGTGTAAAGCAAACTCAACCGTCTCCACATGTGGTCCAGCACTTGAGTCCAGTTTCGTACAGGCCTTTGGCCCCTTGTGACATTAGGCCTACATTTTTTGCAGTACTCTTTCCAAAGTAGGTGAGGTTTTGAGAAAAATGACAAAACAAAAAAACCTGTTTTGATGTCTTAAAACGACGGTGAAAGTGTTTTATGAAGTGTCTTTTGCATAGATGAGTCTGTGTGGTGAAAAAGGCCTTACATATTTGGAGAGCTGCATTAAGAGTGGTGAGAATGACGTTCCTGATGTAAGACTTTCACCAAAGCAACTGAGAAAAGCAGTGATGGGGAAACATTTACTGAAGTTCATTTAAGTGTTCACGAATAAATGTCAGTGAAGTCGTTTGAAAACGTGTGTGTGTGTGTGAAACATGTCAAAAGTAAACCAAAGCAACACATGGTGATAAAACCCGAATTGAATGGTAATGTTTACCAGTTAGAAGCCTTCACAGTGAGAACAGCACAGAGCACCGTCTTCTCTACCTGGAAGGAATTTTCAAAACTTCCTAAGACACCATTATTTGTAGACAGAATTCCAAAATAGAAATAAAAACTCATTAAAAAAAACCCTGTATGTGTAGGCAGCGTCTTAACAATGGACATGTTCATTCAGAAATTAAAAAAGTATATGGAAAAAATGCTGGTACACTTTCCAGAACTTAATATTTTTGTGAAATTCAAAACATAACTACATGAATCTGAAGTGTTTTTGAAGCATTTTAGGCTGAGAATTAGTTTCAGTGTTTAGAGCTGTGAAAAAATAAGTGTCAGGTTTCAAGAGATGTTTTCACATGTGAAAGCTGTAAAATCTACATTTTGAAATCAGATTCTTTAAATATTGTTGTAATGGGCTTTATTTGCTTTAATTACACTATTATAATATTAATAAATGATACAAACAGTGAATGATTTTGTTGAGATTGTTTGTTTCAGAGTCAGAGAGCCGTGTCTCTCTACAGTCAGAGGTTTTTGTACGGCGCCTCAATGAGTTTGTATCACTGTGGTACACGTTCGGTGGAGGAACCAGACTGGATGTTGGAAGTAAGTTAATTAAACTGTGTTTATTATTAAATATTGTATCATTTTATGTTATAACTACTTGTTAGGCTGCTTAGATGAGAGAAAAGTATTTTTTTTATTAAAATAATTGAGTTTTTGATGTTTGTCCTTTTTACTGGACTAATTCAGATGAGCTCTGCGAGTTTCTCTTGTTTAATCTACATTTCTGTCACAGTAAAATGTAGACAAGAGTAAACTTCATCATCTTATGATTAGTTTGTAAATTTCATCCACATCAGCTGCTGTTTGGATGAGTCAAAGTTTGCTTTCTGATGTTTTTATCGTGTCAGATGTTTCAGATTTAGTTTGAAATCATGTGAGCTGTTCAATAACATTTCAAATCTATATGAATGAGTAGCTGCTCTGTGCTTGTGTCCACTAATGTCTTCAGTCGTCCATGATTTAGACTTCTAATCATTTTAAAGCCAAACTTCTGCTGTAAATGTTTCCACATCTGCTTCTTTTATTTCCAGTGTAGTTTGAACATATTTCAGCTCAAACTGTGTGATGATTCTCTCTGTGCTGATATGCATGAGAGGTTTCTTAAAGGGAAGTGAAACAATGTGTGAGTGAATGACTGGTGGAGCAGAAAAAACACCTGACAGAAACTTCTTAACGGAGAAATTCAAATTGTGGTTCGTGCCCTCTAAGCTGATTGGTGTTTCCTAGGTGATACCCGCCCCGCCCTGAAGGTGCTGGGTCCCTCCAACAAGGAGCTGGAGCAGGGGAAGGCCACGCTCATGTGTGTGGCCAACAAGGGCTTCCCTTCAGACTGGAGTCTGTCCTGGAAGACGAGCGACAGCAGTGGCAGCAGCAGCATCAGAGGGGAGGAGAGCAGGACTCCTGGAGTGCTGCAGAATGACGGCCTCTACAGCTGGAGCAGCACCCTGACGCTCACTGCAGACCAGTGGGGGAAGGTGGGCTCTGTGACCTGTGAGGCCACCCAGGGCTCCCAGTCTCTGGTCTCAGAGATACTGAGGAGAGACCAGTGTTCCCAGTCCTGATGTCAATCACTGAGTCTTTGATGTTGATTTTCTTCTGTCTCTTTGTTTCTTTGTGTTTGCAGATTTAAAAAATAAACTCATTAAATATTCATATTTCCATCTCATAATGACAACAATCAGAGCAACAATCTCCTCTAGTTTCATCCTTTGGTGTCTGTTGTAATGCTGATATTTCAAACTCTTAAAAGAATAAAAATGCAACGAGAAAACATGTTCTTTGACTCTGTGAGTTTAATAAATGCACATTAAAAAATTAAGATTTTGTAATATTTGTAAAACAGACCAAAATAAAAATGTAAACAGACACATCAAGTGTAATGTGCAGTGAAAATGGTTAAATATATTTTTTAATCCACATATTAAATATTTTTCTATAAGATGTTGAGGTCATGTCAACCATAGATTATCTGTGTGCTCTTCATAATTTCTAGTCTCAAAGCTGTTTTATGATCTACATTTTAATCTGATCTAAAACCTAATAAGTAAAATTAAAGAGCAGGGTGTCATCTGTATGATTAAACAGAGATCATTTAAATCAAGTTCAAGTGAAGATTTACTGAAGTTTGATTAATGAACTATTTGGCAGTGAAACTGTGACGAGGCAACAAAGCAGAGAAGAGTCTAGAAGCTGGTGGTGGCAGAGGTGAAGCAGGTGGAGACTTAGCTGAGGATCTCTAATTGTCAGGATGAGGTGGAGATCAGGAGTCTGAGAGTTAAAGCACACAAAACAGAGGCTGAGTAACTCACAGAAGGCAGCGAGACAATAACTGGACTCAAATAATGACGACAGAATTGAGCTTGAAGTGGACATGATGTTAAGAACAGACTAACAGAACAAACACAGGAATGCAGGCAGATGAGAGACTACAGGTCTGCTTTAATCAACTTACATAGAAGTTAATCTCTTCTGGTGTTCACAGCAAAATGAGAGAAACTCACTTCACTAAACCTCTTAACACAAGACAAAGACCACGGTCTGTCAGGAGGACGCTTGCTGGTTTTACATCTGACAGAGACAGTCTGTCCTGGAACAAAAGACTGAGTCGGCACTTTTTCTCCCAGTTAATAATAAAGAATATCAGAGTTATTGAAGTTACAGGTTTCATGTTTCATGCTTCATGCACGACATTCACAGTGTTGGTTTTTGCCCAGTTTAGGTATTTGTGTCTTAGTCCTGTTTTTCCTTTGCTTTGTATTTTTCATGCAGTCTCAATGAACGCCTCGCTTTCTGCTAAATTCCATCCTGTTTCCACGTGTCTGATTTTGGGTCCTTTCACTCTCCGCTCCACACAATCTGCTGCTGCAGATCGTGACATTATTTGAATTATTCATTCTTTTTGTTAAAGTCTTTATTAGTTTCACTATTTGACTTGTCCAGGGTGTACCCTGCCTCTGACCTTAAGACAGCTGGAATAGGATGGGATGCATGTATAGTTTCATTATTATTGTCAGATCATCAGCATGTGATAATGTGGATATAATACCAAAATAGTAAAATGCCTTCTTATTTTGCATTTATTTATTACAGTTTTTTCATTTTTGATTTCAGACAACCAAACTGTACGATTAAGAAGAAAGCTGTGTTTCTTTACAGTCAGAGGTTTTAGCTCAATCATGATGATACAAACTCTTTTCTTTCAGGATCCAGACTGGATGTCTGGAAATAAATCAATTTTAAATGAGTATTTTAAACAATACTTTGTCCTTCTGCTTTTGTTTTAGCATGCTAAGTATGTAAAAAAAAGTCCTGTTTAGAAGCGGACATGTCACAGTGCTGGATCTGTGACCCAGTGTTTTGTCTGTGTTGTTAATTTATATTCTTTGATTACTTTTATTCATGGTTTTGGTTATCTTTTTTTCTTAAGTTCTTAGTGATCCTAGTTCTCCCTCCCTCAGTGTCCATCTCAAGCCTGTGTATAAGCTCTTGTCTCCATGTTTATTGTTCCCTCTGTTGCACAGGCAGTCATGTCTCCATGTCTCAGTGTCTAGTGTCTGTCTCTGTTTTTGTTCCCCCAGTCACAGTGTCTTTTCTGCATCTACATATTCGTCATGCTTCCTGTTTTCTTCTGATAGTCCTTGTCCTGTGTTCAGTTTTCAGTTTTGCTTCCCCTTGGTCTCCTTATGTGTGATTATTTCCATCTGTGCTCTCCTCCTGTGTGTCATTCCCTTGTGTGTTTCCTCTGCCTGTTGTCGTGTTGTCCCATGTGCTGTAAGTTTCTCCATGTTTCTGTCCATCATTCCTAGTTCCATGCTCCTTATTTCCTAGTGTTTCTGTCTCTAGTCCCCCAGAGTCTAGTTCTTATTTTCCATGTTCAAGTTTTGGTTTGTTTTTCGTAAATGTTTATTTTGTGCATTATTTCCCAACAAATAAAGCTGCCTCTTTAAATTTGTTTCCGTGTAAGAATCCTGAATCCAGGAACCTTCATGCTGCCTGCCATACAGCAAACATGACAGGACATTGAATAACAAACATTAGTATACACAGAGCCAGCCAGATGTAGAAGTGTGATGTGTCTCATGTGATGGTGTTTTAACCTGAGTGAGCACTTCATTTAATTATTCACGATATCCATATCCATTTCATCTTTCCAGGATATCAGTGTATTTAAACTTTTAGCGTCCGAGAGCCTGAAAGCTATAAATATTTTACTTTTTACCACTTTGCTTCAGTTTAGTTAATTTTATATCTAAATGTTTACAAATTGCATTTAATTCCTGTTTGAATCATGATATTAAAATGGGAAACAGAGACATTGTCCTGGTAATTTGATGTTTTTGTGTTTCTTTTTAAATTCTTAAATGGTTTTGTCCTGCCTTACCTCTGAGCTACTTTACTCAAATACTCCTGTACAGAAACATGTTATTAATATATGTTGTTTAATCCTGTCATGTCTGGCAGTTTATGCAATCTGAATTATGATCTGAATGCACTGTGGTGCCAAAAACATGTTGCAAAATCAGCTCTATAAGTTCTCTATGGTTCCTCTTGTTTCCTCTGCCTGTTGTCGTGTTGTCCAACAATGTGTCACCAACTGCTGCACCTGTAAGAAAAAACAAAGGGAACAAAAACATACAGCACCTGGAACACAAAGATATGAAAATGCACAGATACATGAATTAACAATCTTTTTGTGGTGTGTGTCATTGTCACAAAAGGTAGACAATAATGAGGGCAGGGAGGTGCAACAATGCCCTCCTGGGTGTCAGAGGCAGACAGCGATAGATCCAGGAGATCCAGGAGATCCAGGAGGCCACAGCAGGAGAAGGAGGAAGGCGCCAGATGGGGCACCCAGAGGGTGAGAGTCTCAGAGAACCAGAGGCAACAGGCATCAGTCAGATGTCCTAGCACGAGCCGAGAACAGTGCCCAAGGACCACCTGGCACGACTTTGAAAAGTGGAATGAGAGGCAGAGTCTTCAGCTCAGAGAAGATCAGCTTCCAAGTTGAAGTCATGAATCACAATCACACTCAAATCTGTGTTTAGTGATACCAAATACAGTTACAATGCATTCATTGTATACTCTGATTACATTGTATAAAGAGTGAAATGCATGTTTATTACTGCTTCTATTAATAGTGTTGTTATGAGTGGTTATGATGCTGTTTAAGGTAAATCTGGAGGAAATCCATCAGTCTCTGCAGCAGTCAGCTCAGCTCTTATTCAGTCTGAGGTAAAATAATATTAAAATGTGTAAACACATCTGTGCTGAGATAACTCTGAACTCTAAACTTATTTGTTCTCTATCATGTAGGAACGTCTGTGAGCAGTAATGTGGTTTTTCTGTAGCTCCTTATTTATTCATGTTGCTTTAAAATTTAAGACTTAAGATTCAAACTAATAAAATCATTTAAAGATTTCAAAGTTATGCTCTGATAAAGCAATTAACAAAGTGGAGTCTAAGCAATGATGGGAAAGAGGAAACGAATGCTGGATTCAAAAGTTTACTATTTAAATTTCTACAGCAGCTAATTAATAAATACTTAATTTATCTACTGATGTTTTCTGTGTGTTCAAAGTATTTGGTGGTCTTTTAATTTACAGCAATACACTCAATGTTAATGCTGTGTGTGTGTGTGTGTGTGTGTGTGTGTGTGTGTGTGTGTGTGTGTGTGTGTGTGTGTCCTCAGTGAACTGTATCAGTCTCTGCAGTATCTTCCAGCTGCAGCAGTCACTTCAGTTTCTGTTCAGTCTGACTGAGGGAGGTTTTTGTACGACTGTTTTTCACTGTGTGAACACACGCTGACTGTTGATGTAGTGATAACTCTGACAGTAATAAACTGCTGCATCTTCAGCCTGGACTCCACTGATGGTCAGAGTGAAGTCAGAGTTTGATCCACTGCCTGTAAAACGAGCTGGAATCCCTGATTCTCGTCTGCTAGCATAGTAAATGAGCAGTTTAGGAACTCCTCCATCTTTCTGTTGGTACCAGGCTAAACGGTTCCCACTATCTACACGCTGACTGGTCGTACACTTGATGCTCACAGTTCCTCCCACAGCAGAGCTCACTGCTCCAGGCTGAGTCACTGTGATCTGTCCTCTGGACTCTGAGGACACAGAGACAAAAACATAAAGCAGCTTCATGGTTTTGTGGGCTTCATTTCAGAGGGACAGATGTTGATAGAGGAGAGGAGTTTGATTCTCTGGACTTTACCTGTGAAGCAGCAGCAGAGGAGAGTCCAGATGAGGACGCAGATCAAAGTCATGTTTTTGATGAGGAGGATTTCTGTGGCTTCTGTTGTGATGAAGGACAGCTGTCAGTCATCCAGTGTTCAACTCTCAGGACTATAAACTCTCCCAGAGCACTGGAGCATGGTGCTGCTGATGCAAAGTGCCTCTCTATGGAAATCATCTGACCAAGTTTAGACACACAATGTGAAAAAGTAAAGGTCTGGACTTCACTACATGTTTTTACAACATTCTGTACGCCACGCAGATCCTGATGCATTTGAAGAACTACTAACTGATTATTTTTAAAATAACTTCAATGTCAATTTTAAAATATTGCTGTAGGACACCGTTCAGATGGCTGTGATCCAAAATTAAATATGGTTCAGACATCATGATACAACATGATTTCCTCCAGTACCATCCACCTCCAACATATATTACAGTTTCTCTCAGTCGCTTTGCTGCAGTTCTCAAATCAGTGATGCTTTTCCCCAATCAAATTAGCCTTTCTCATTGTTTTATACACACATACACACTGCTGTTGTTTCTACACTAATAAAGGGATTTGTTACTTCATTGATCCACAACTCACAGCTCACAACTGTCGTGATCGGGCTGTGTCCAGGCAGGAATTGGACCCAA